GCAGAAAATCGCCTTTTTCGGGGTTTCCCCCATTTCCCAGCCTGAGGAGGGGCACAGCGGGGATGTCGGAGGGTACCGGGGCTTTTTGGGGCTGTAAATGCGTCTCAGTTTCAGCCCCAGCTATCAAAATGGTGCCGCTCACCCCGCCGTGGCGATGATCCTCCCGGAGCGGCGCTCTCCGGGGCAGCCGGGGGACACCGGAGGGGGCTGCGGGAGGGAGCGGCGGCGTCCCCGGAGGTGTTAATGGGACATTAGCGGCTCATTGTCCCCCCGCCGCCCACACCCGGCCGGCACCGCGGGGGAAGCGCCGGCCGGGCCCCCTTTTCTCCCCCCGAGCCTTCCTCCACCCGCGGGGCTCCCTAAAGTTGGGAGAGCAGCAAGGACGGGGAAATGGAAGGGGGGATTCCCCCCCAAAATCCTGCGGCGTCTCAGCTCCCCCATCCCCCGCGGGGCCACGGGGGGAGCAGCTCCCCGGTGAGCCCCCCACCACCTTCACGCACGGGGGAAGAACGGGGCCGAGCTCTCCGTGCCCCGGGAGGGTGAGGTGGGGGTAAGGAGCCCCCCAGAGCCCAGCTTGTCCCCAGAGGTAGGGATGGTCCCCAGCTCCCGGGGAAAAATGAGTCTGGGGGAGTGGGGTGGGGTGGGAGAGGGGGAATGGAGGGTCCTGGGGTGCCCGAGGGTCCTGAGGCACCTCAAAGTCCTGGGGTCCCGACTTCCAGACCGCGGCTGGAGGAACAGCGGAGGGTCCTGGGGTGTCCGGGGGTCCCGAGGTGGCTGAAGGTCCTGGGGTGTCCGAGGGTCCCACCTTACACCCCTCACCCGCTCCACCCCATGACCCCGGAGCACCGGGAGTGTCAGCTCCTGCTGGATGGAACCCTTGGAGGCAGCTCTCCACCTACAAAAATGGTGGGAAACACCCCAAAACTGCGGGGCTGCCTTTTTTATGATTTAGGAGGTCATAGGAGGGCAAAGTTTCGAGGCACCAGGGGAGCGGGACATTCACGCCCAACACGTTCCCTGCTGGGAACCAGCCCCCTCCTCACGCCTTCAGGATTCATCCCAGGTTATTTACGGGAAATAGGGGTAAAAATAATGCATAAGGTGATTATTTATAATTTTTAGCATGGTGGGACTCACACAGACCCCCGGACGTTTCCACACCCCTACTCCATGAGCCCCTAAACAAGGAGCTGTCTGGGGAGAAGGGGCAGATGTGAGCTCCCCATTCAGCACGTGGCTGGAAATGTTAATTAAACGCAGGGCAATAAAACATCTGGAGGGCTGGGAGCGGGAAGGGCCAGCCGGCACGACCCCCCGCAGCTGCCTCCTGCTTTTCCTTGGGAATCTTGGGCAGGGGGGACCGGGGTCACCAGCGATTTCGATGGTACAAAAGCCTTTTCATGAAGTATTTCAGGCAAAGCAACTGAAGAACCTTTGTGGCGAGGGGCGGCCGGGGGGCGGTGGAGTCTGGTGGCCCCAGGGGTTTGGGGGCTGGAGATGGCTGGAGATCGGGGTTCACGGTCGGGCTGTGGGTGGTGGCACGGGACAGAGACAACGTCTGGAGGTGATGGATTAAACCCCGGCTTGGTGCCACCCCACCAGCCCCGCAAGCGCCTGCCATGCGGGAACGAGCCCACCCTGTGAAAAATAATAAAAAAATAAAAGGGGGAAAAGGCTTTTCGGATGAGTCTGTCCCGCCGGCCGGTCCCGTCAGGGCAGGACCCCGCTCCCAGCGTGGGGAGGGATGGGCACGGCCCTCTGCGCCTTCCTGGGGCGAGGGACGGGGGCACCGGGGTGGGCTGGGGCCGCTCCGGCGTGGGGACACCCATGGGTGGGGTGGGTCCCCCGGTGGGACGCGGGCTCTCCCGCCCCGCGGAGCACACAAAGGGGGTGCGTGCACCCCGGCAGCGCAGGAATGGTGCACGGAGGGGCACCCCGGCGGGGATGGGGCACCCCGGCGGGGATGGGGCACCCCGGCGGGGATGGGGCACCCCGGCACAGGAACAGGATGGGGGGCACGGGTGGGGGCACCCCGATGGCCGGGGACACCCAGGGCACGACGGGGACACCAGGGCAGGGCGGGAGGGACACGGACGGAACGGGGGGGACCGTCACTAAGCTGAGAACACTCGGACGTGCCAGAAGCGTCGCCCCGCGTGGAATGGGGGGAGCACGGGTGGGATGGGAACGCTCGGGTGGGAGGCGACACCCTGCGTGGGACGGGGCGACCCCGCTGGGGCACCCCGGGCCAGGAGGGCGAGCCCCGGGCCAGGAGGGCGGCACGGAGGGCTGGGGGGAGCGCGGCCGGGCTCGGGGGAGCTCCCGGCCGCGCGGGGAGCCCCGGCGGCGGCGGCACCGAGCGGCGCCCCGCGGGCAGCGCCGGTGCGGAGCCGTGCGGGCCCGGCGGGGCGGCGCGAGCCCCTGCCCGGCCCCCGGTGTCGGTTTGCATCCCGGCTCCTCCCCGCCCCGCCGCCCCGCGCATTCCCGACCCTCCGGGCGGTGGCGGCGGCGGCGGCGGGGCCCGGCGGGGCCGGGGCGGGACCCCACGATGCCGCAGCTGGAACCCACGGGGGGAGACGACCTGGGGGCCCCCGACGAGCTCATCGCCTTCCAGGACGAGGGCGAGGAGCAGGACAAGGGCGCGGGGCGCGGCTCGGCCCACGGGGACCTGGACGAGCTCAAGTCCTCGCTGGTCAGCGAGACCGAGAACCGGGGGGGCCCCGGCCCCGTGGCCGGCCCCGGCCCCGAGGTGAGGCGAGGGGCGGCGGGGAGCCGGGGGGAGGCGCCCCCCGCCCGGCCGCGCTCCGCTCACCGCCTCTCCCCGCAGGCGGAGCGGCCCCCGCCGCCCCGGGAAAGTTTCCAGAAGCCGCGGGACTCCCTGGCAGAAGGTACCGGACCCCCCTCCCGGCGCCCCCCCGCTCCCCGCCGCGTCCCCCGGGAGCGGCCGACACTTCCCAACTTCTTTGTTTCCGCCCCCGGCTGCGGGCGGGACCCCTCGTGTGCCCCCCCCCTCCCGTCTCCGCTCCCCGTCTCCTCCGGTTCTCCCCCCGGTGTCCCCCCACGGCCGTGTCCTCGCCCCCCCGTGTGTCCCCCCGTGTCCTACTCCCCTCGTGTCCGCCCGCCCCGGTCCTCTCCCCGCTGTCCTCGCCCCCCTCCCCCAATTCCCCCTCCCGGTCCTCGCCCCCCCGTGTCCCCTCTCCCACCCCACCGGCCTCAGGTCCGCCCCCCGCCCCGGTAACCGGCTCCGGTAACCGGGCGCGGGCGGATCGGCGCCCCCACGGGGCAGCGGGGCTCGGGACGCCCCCGGGGCTGGCTCCGGTCGGGGGGTGCCCAGCACCGGGACCCGCCACCCGCCGGGACTGACCCGTGCGGCCGAGCCCCCCGCCCGCGGGGCCGCGCTGCCCCGCGGCACGGACACCCCCAGAGGAACCGGGGACACCCCGAGAGACTTGGGCACCCCCAGAGGGACCTGTCCGAGCGCCTCCCCTGCGGGGATCCCCCAAAAGAACCCCCGAAGGGAATGGGCACGTACTAAGGTGCCCCCCAAGTGGGAACCCCTAGAAAATCAAGGACCCCCCCCAAGCGATTTGGGCCCCCCAGAGGGACCCACCCACGCCCCGCAAGTGGGGACCACCCTCCACGAGAGCCGAGGACTCCCCCAAAATCACTTGGGCGCCCTCCCCCAAGTGGAGACCCCCGGAAGAACCGGGGGGCAGCCCCAGAGGGACATCCCCGGGCCCCCCCTGCACCCGGCCTTGCCCCCCAGCCCGCCGCCTCCTGACGCCCCCCTCCTTCTCTCCCCAGTGGTCAGACGACAGCAAGATGGGGGCTTCTTTAAGGGCCCCCCCTATCCCGGCTACCCCTTCCTGATGCTCCCGGAGCTGGGCAGCCCCTACCTCGCCAACGGAGCCCTGTCCCCCGGCGGAGCCCGCACCGTAAGTGCCCCCCGGACCCTCCCCAGCCTCCCCTCGCCTTTTTGTGGGTGCTCAGGGTCCCCCCTCAGCCTCACAGCCCCGTCCTGCAGGACAGCGACCACCTGATGCTAAAGAAAAAGGCCAAGATTTTTGGTTTCTTTCCTTTATTTTTGGTTCACTTTGCCCCTTTGGAGGGGGAGGGGGGGGGGGGCTTTGAGTTTGGGGGGCTTCACTCCGGGGGACCCGCCCCGAAACCTGACCCTGAGCTGCTGCTTTTCTCATTTAAAAGGGTTTTAAAGCCGTTAATGGGCCAACACTGGCCGCGGGGGGAGAAGTGATTAAGCAAATTGAGCGAGAACTGGGGGGGCGCGGGAGAAGGGAGAGCGACCCCCTCCCCTCAGCGGAGCCCCTCGACCCCCCCAAACCATCCCGCCCAACTTCTTGGGCAGCGTCCTGGAGTAATTTCGGGGATACGGAGGAGTTTTGGGAACAGAAGGTGCTCCCGGGGAGGAATTCCCAGCCCCCCGAGGGAGGAGGGAATTCCCGGCCCTCCGGGGGTCCCGACCCTCGGGGGGGATGCTGGCCCGGGCCGCGGTGCCCGGGCTGGAGCCCCCCTCGCTCCTGAGTGTCCGCGTGTATTTCTCGCTCCGCTGATGCTTTTCCACGCGTTATTGCTCCGGATCCGTAGGGAACTCTGTTCCCACATGGAATGTATATGGGATAGCAGTGTTGTGGCGTTTAGAACGGTTTGGAATCCCGGAATCCGGCTGGTCGGCGCGGAGGGTTTTCCGTATTTTCAGGGTTTTCCTACTTTTGCTTTCCTGGAAGCAACCGGGTTGGAGTGGCCGTGAAGTGCAAATCCGGGATGGGGAGGGCAGATAAGCTAATTATCCCGGTGTTTTGCCGGCGGCTGGATAAAGGTTGTATTCCCAATTTGTCACTCTTGGGATTATGAGGTTTTGGGGATGAAGCAGGACTGACCGCGATGCCAAACACTGGCAAGGAATCCGGGATAATGAGAAGGGATCGGGGTTGGGATCCTTCACAAGCGGCCACTAACGATGATTTAATGAATCCCAGAAAAGGGATTAATTAGGGGCTGGAGCGGGTGTGCCTCCCGGATGTTTGAGAGGGATGACTGGGGTTGGGAAAGCATGGATTTGGGAATGGATTTGGGCTGAATTCCGGCGGAATGGGGCCTCCAATTAGTGCGGGGTGTGTGTGGGGGAGCTGGATGCTGCTGGGTGAGTTTTGTGATGCTGCTGGATCCCACTCAGGCACAGCTGAGCTCTGTGCCCGCCACCAAACCCTCTTCCCTGAGCTCCCACGGCCACAGGGATCCCCCAGATCCCAGGGTGCCATCGTGGCCACGGGTGGGCACAGTGTCCCCGATCCCATCTTGGATCCATCTGGGCACAGCATCCCCGGTCCTGTACCAGGTCCTGCAAGGCTCAGCATCCTCAGGCAAACAGAAAACAGCCGGACAGAGCATCCATCCTTGGTCCTGGTCTGGGTCCAGCCGGGCACAGCACCTTCGACCCGGTGCAGCATCCTCAATCCCACACCAGATCCTGCTGGCACAGCGTGCTCCGTCTCTTCTTGGATCTGGCCTGGCTCAGCGTCACCGCTCCTGCTCCATCCAGGCATCCCTGGTCCTGTATGGAATCCGTCTGGGCACAGCATCCTGGATCTGCCACGGGATCCACGCAGACTCAGCCTCCCAATCCCTACTGCAACCTTCCGGGAGCGGAATCCTCGATCCCGTACCCGACCGAGCTGGACGCAGCACCCTGATCC